GAGAAGAAAAATTTCCTTTTTCAGCAGTTTTTTCTATGTAAAAATCATCAAATTCATATAAACTAAAAAATTATAAAAATTTTGTAAATAGAGATTTCAAGCTTTAAAATTTTTTTTTTAATTTAAATTTTATTTATTCTTGATAAAGATAGTGTAGGTATATATAGTTTTGAGCTAAAGAAACCGCAGAACTTTTCCTCCAATATTATAGAGGAGATACTTCCTCGATTTACGAATTTAAAATTCTCTTAACAGTATAATTAACGGGTTTTTTTTATGAATAAATAAATTTTATTCGTTCTACAAAAAAAAGAAACATGTTCGACGAATCTACGTGAAACTGTGGCCTTTGCTTCAAAGTCGGGATGCGTCGTCTTTTTCACTTCCGATAACACTTACCAATCTTAAATACTAAATTAAAGACTCCGCATAGATTTTCTGCGTATACATCAAGATGAAAAATATATATTTGAATAATTATTCAGAAATAGAATAATATTTCACCAAAGTAATTGAATCAAAGATTATTTAATTAAAAATATTCGAATTATAAAATAACCTACCAATTAAAAAATTATTAAAGTAAAATTTATTGAAAATTAAAATATAGATGCATTCTTACATTTATAATATAATTTTTAGGTTTGCAGAAATAAAATGACATTTATCGATCTTTTCCATCCGCGATTAAAGTAACTTTGTACAGACCGGTAACATAAAGTCCGATGCTAAACTTACTCTAAGAAGCACATAGAAACGGTAATGGGCGGCAGTGCAGTTAGTGCACATGTGCCACGAACGGGTTTCGTGTGTTATCGCACAGTACATCGGCTGCGTTAATGAGGGAACTTTTTAACGAAGCTTTTATATTTTTGACATTTAAAAATAACCTCTAGTTCTACGATCACAAATTATGCAATATTTTCACGTTTCTTATAGTCATTCGATTTTTATTTTCAAAATAATTTTTAAGATTGTATATAGCTAAGAAATATAACACAATGTAACTTTTTTTATCTTAAGGTGATTCTAAAATGAAGCCTGAACTTTGAAATCGTATTACCGATAAAATGCGACACATCGGGCGGTATTATTCTTAGTCCATTCTTATTTTAAGACTGTCTTAAAAATCGTTTTAAGATGCTAATGCAACCCTCTAATTAGCGTATGATATTTTAAGACAATCTCAAATATAAAAATCGACTATGAATACTGCCATCGACATATCTTTATATACTAGATCAATATCACACGTATAAACATAAATTTTTCTAAAACAAATATATAGTGCTTTAATTAGACATTTAATAACCGTCGTGAAGTTAGCCTCCTAACATAAAAAAAAATAAAATTTATATATCTCATTCAATTGCTCATCGTTTGCACATTTATGCACATTTTTAAATTTCGTTTATACACCTTTAGTTTAAAAGTTATTTAAAAAACAATTTTGGGAGGCTAACTTCACACTACTCATAAAATACGTTTCCGGCTCAAATTCGATAGAAAGGAGTTCAATGCGATAAATGCGATTTGAACCAATTTGTGCGCGACACATCGATATTTAAATAATAAGCACGCGTGTAAAATTCATCCCATTACATCCGACACGCGCGTATCGAAGCATAATAAAAGTTCCAGATAGGATAAATCGCCGGTTTGTTGCCGATACTTCTCGGTAATTCCGATATCATCCGTCGTAAAGGACAATTTGATCGGTCAATTACTCAAGCAGCGCTAAGGACGCTCCGTCGAGACGTGTGGATCGGACAACCTTTTCGAGTTTCCTTTTTTGAGGGGTGCAGTTGGTGAAACCCTTGAAAAACACACTGACGGAAGCCCCGTTCGTCTCATCACGTTTTATCATATCCTTCGCTACAGTTTATATTCCTTTGTGTAAATCAGTTTTTCGGAACTTTTAATCTGAAAAGCTTATTGGACGTAGCTTCGAAGATGCAATTGCATGTGAGAATGATAAAGTAACGAAGTCTCACACGTCGCGTGTCTCTTCCTAGTTGAGTAAACGAGAATTCTCGATTATGGCTGAAACTCGCGAATGCAGGCGTAGATATACGTGACGTCATTTTTTTTACCTGCTACCCACGCGCTATAAAGTTGCAATATGTAATTATGTCTGCCTGTTGGATAATATCTCGTGGAATACAATATTTTCTATGAGATGGAGATACAGAGTAGCGATGGCGATTATTGTTTGTACATGTTTCATTCTTGTGGTGAATTATGTAATTATTAATAACGCGCAGTTAATTTATTACTTAATTATGTGCTAATAAAATAAAATATCCGTTAAAATCTAAAAGATCTATAACTTGCTATAATTGTTAAACACTTTTTCTTTTATGCATAGTATACTAAGGGTTTAATCACCTATCCTGACAGAAATTAAGATTTTTTTAAAGATTAACTAATGCGTAAAATTAACTTATATTTTATATGTATAATGTACAATATTTAAACTATAAATTCTTGAATTTTTTAAATATGTAAATTAATTAAAAAGTTTAAGCCATAGAACAATTCGCGCAAAAAGCTCTTCCGTCGTGGCGGGATCGGATAACATTTCCGAGGGCGAGGATAGTCTGAAATAAAAAAAAAACAAAATATTATCTTGTAACAGATGTAACAGCTATCGTGTAGCGTTGAGTTGTTTATATTTATTAAGAAATGGAAAAGAAATGGAAAGTGGAAAGTATAGCTCAATTTGAAAAAAAATTTTTCACCTTAAAACGACAACTTAGAAAATTTACTATAAATAAATGGATTAACATATCAAAAAAGTACGCTACACGATAAATAATCTTCTTAAGAATATTCCTGCCAAAATTAAAGTCAATCAGATTGTTAGTTTCGGAGAAAAGTTACACCCGTCTTAAAAACATGGTTTCGCGAAAAACGCAAAAGAAGATTTGAAACGAATTTTTTATATAATAAAATAATCTTACCTTTAATCTGCTATTCCAGCACCATACACCTCGCCTTCAGCTTCTACAGAAAGTGATCTTTAGCTTCTTTTTTTTTTACGTATAAAAACACAAAAAACATTCAGATTTTCGGTTAGCATCAGCGGTCGCGCTGTTATTCACGCGCGGTAACCTCTGTTCGCCTCCCTATAAATTCTTATAAATTGATGATTTTTATAATCAATTTCTGAAATTTTGACCTCGGTCTTAGTTTAAAATATTCTTAAAAGTTCAAATTTAAAAAAAATGCAAAAAATTTTTTTCGATTTTTTTTAAATTTCAGAATGGTCAAACATTTTAAATTTTTTAATTGTTTTTAATATTTTCAAATGTACCCAATTTTTTGGGAAACCTTACTAAATTAAAAAATTATTGAAATAAATATATTAGTGAATCTATTCATATTTACACTTTAAATTTCTTGCAGTGAAATCTCAATGTAAGTAAAATACAACTTGAAAAAAGTGACAATGTTTCACTTCTTGAAAAGAGTGACAATTTTGTACACTCTGTTTAAAGTGTGAAATTTTACTTCTTTGGGGTAAAAATTCACTCTAAATACAGCGAACAAAATTGTCACTTTTTTTCAAAAAGTGAAATATTTCTACTTTTTTTGAGTGTGGTTGTATAGCTTCACTCTTTTAGAGTGAGGTTTCACTGCAAAAAAGTTACAGTATAGGATGTCCGATGATAGAATAGATCGATATACGCTACTAAGCGTAGACAGTATTATTCTTATGAAGTCATTGCTCCGTTCCATGCTTGCGTATTAAATTTTCAATCGCGTACAACGCGACACGCGACATACCAACGGCGTTTATCTACCATTATAACAGTTGTGTACGTCGCGACGATCCTCGGGTCATATCCGCTTCAAGTAACGCCTCGAGAAAACACGCACCAAGACGAATCACAATCTACTGTTTGCTGACTTTATGTTTTGTTGACCATGAATCGCGAAATCATACGAAAGGCGGCGTTCGTTACATTTCCGTCCAACGTCCTGTTTGAACACTGACTGTGGTAATTTCGACAAATATAACCTTCCTTCCGATAATATATTTTGCGAGCTGTACTCGGTGAAAAACGTTCAATGTTTCTATTAATCTTCTGTTATTATTGCGTTATTTGAACGATACAAAGTAAATAAGTATTTAAAAATTTAACGATACATATCTGTGTCGGTTGAAAGAAAGCATCGATCATTGAACGATTACTTACAAGAAGTACGTATTGAATAAAATTTTTAAATGTAATTAAAAACATAACTCCGGCATATAAAATTCGAAATTTTAGTACACAAATGAAAAAACTGAATATTAAAAATGGAAACTTTGGATGTCCTTGTTGTTTCGCTTTTCTCTATTTACCTCTCATTTCTTTCTGTTCACCCCGTCAAATTTGAGTATATAAAACAAATGCTATTTATCTCGAAAACGAAAAAGAAGAGATTCAATTTTTCGCGTGCAATCAAAGCAAAGGATTGTCATCAAAAAACGTTTTCACCCTTCGCTCGCTGCTCCGCGCCCTTTTGGGGCCCTTCCGGTTCCTGCTCATTACCCTCCACGTGTCCGCACGTGCAGCATGCATGTGCAGCAAACTACGCGCCGGTGGATCCTCTCCTCAGCCTCCCCTCTCTCTCTTCTGTTCCTCTCCTCTCTCTGGTTCGCTGAGCGTATTGATTGAGGTGAATGCACGATGCTCGGCGTCGGCGTCGTCGTCTCTCCTGGTCCGCGGACGGGGGTGGAAGGAAGTATATACGGCACTGCCGGGGTACTCGCGATGGAAAGTGGCGAGTCTCGCGAGTTCTCGTTGGGAAGGGAGAGAAGAGAAAGAGAGGAGAGATAGGAAAAAGGAGAGGGAGAGAGACGGGCATGAGACACCGGTAGAGGAGGCGTTATATACTGGCTGGATCCTGGTTCGACCATCAGTTTCTCGCCCGCACTCGCGGCATCGACACCGCGAGCATCGCAGACACTCGCATCTGTCATAGATCGCGATCATTCGAAAAGCCGTGGAAGAAGTTTTAAGACGATAAGATCCATTCGTGCGGATTCTCTTTGCACTGGGATTTTCTCCGAACTTCAGAAGAGAGATAATCCTTAACGGGGAGGCCTGGCTGTTTCGAGGTCGCTCAGAGGCACCTTGTTCGTGGAACTGTCCTAGGTCGGGTTAGCTCCTGGGGAATTGCCATGGCCACTTACGCGACGTACAGACACGTCGAGCTTGACAACGTTGGATACGGAAAGAAAAGGTAACGATGAAATACACTTGCGAAACGAGTGAGTAAGAGAGAGAGGGGTGAGGCAGCGGGAGCATATCGCATTGCGGACTTCCCATAGACGGCATTTCCGGTTGAACTGTGCATCGAATTACACTCTTATATTTTGTCTTTTTAAATAATAATAGTCGTTACGCATCGCGGTTGATTTTCCCATGTTCGCAAACGAGAGGAGTGCCGAGTGAACCAATCAATAGCTTGTCGTATTTGACTTGGGGTAGGTGCACTCAACACATGAGCAGTCAGATTTAACAGGGTTGTTTCTGCATGTATAAAGTGTAATTTCATTTTTATATGCGTGGCAATCTCTTTCTATTAATTATAGAGGCTTTTTGCGGACTATAGACTCGATATTTCCGTGCATTTTTGTTAGTAGTCGTAACGTTATTTTTTTGTCAAATTTTAATCAAAATTGCGCCATGTAGGTAATTATGACAGGGAAAGGTTGACAATTCTCCACGTGCTGAAATAGCAGTAAAGATCTATCTGTGTCGGTTACGTAAGATTTAGAATTGGGCTTTGTTAATTGCGAATCGTAGGTAAGTGTTATTTCCGAACGCAAGTCGTCGAGAGGCAGTTCACGAACGGGCGATTATTTATAAGCTCTAAGGAAATGCGTGAGTATAACAGAATATGCGGTTCTTCTGTCTATCGTGACAGGTCTGATCGATTTACATCCAGCCGGCCATCTCCAGCGATGCAAGCGAGATGCTGCGCCCCGTTAACTATATATTCGTTGACATTGCGCAAGTAGTAAGACTAGTAAGACATTTACAAGATGCATCGCGAATAACTTGAGCTGAGTCGAATCGATTACGAAGGATCCCCGTCGTCTACCGTTATTTGTGGAGCAAAAGCAGTTTTAATTATTATATTAATTAAAAAAGAATGGATATTTCGATCACCCTATTGCATCGAGTCCATTTAATCGTTAATTAATAATTAACTTTACCTTGATATTCCTTTACTTTGTAACGCAATAAACGTTTATCAGGATACCTTTCGCAGGAAATGTCACTTCCTCCTAAGGATGCTGATATCGAAGTGAATATGACATGCGGTTGTAAATACCTAGTAATTAAGGAAAAAGTAATACCCGTTTCCTCAGTTTTTTATTCTACGAATTTTTATTGAGACCAAAGAAGAGTTTTTTTTTTAATATTCTTCATTTATTTATATTTTAAATCTGTGTTTATTTTTTCAATGTGTAGTGATCCAGTAATATGAAAAAACCTGAATTTTCTAAAAATTTTTATACCTACTTTTTTTTAATTTACTATCTCCAACAGTGATTAAAGCAACAAGATGATGTTTACGCTATCATTAGTTAAAAGATCTATTGAGAAAAGATAATAAAGAGGGATCAATAGAAGCGAGATTTAGAAAGCGTGACTGCTTCGTGCCTTATCAAGCTTGTTGTACATAGGCGAGAAGGATAGCGATCTTAGGCTCATTTTTCTTGATCTTTTTTATTAACTATCCATGCGAAAAAATTAAGCAACCGATAAATTTCGAGCGAATCTTCTCACCGCTAAATAAATATTTCATACAATTAAAAATAATGTACGAAGTAAGATGACAGGGTTACCATAGACCTGGAAAACCGGGAAAAATCGAGAGAAAATATAAAAAAGTCTGGAATTTTTAAATTTGCTCATAATTCCTTTAAACTGCTCCTATTTTAAATAATTGTTACAATTTTTTAAATTTATTTTATAAATATATGTGATGTTTATAGTCAAATACATTCAAACTCGCACACTTTAAATGGTTTTAATGAAAGAATTCAAATTTACATTTTGTTCAGTATTTTTATATAATAGTCCTTTTTCGTTATATTCATTCTTTTTTGTAATACTAATTTATTTTTTGTTGGCTTGAATTTATACCCAAAATTTTATTATGCTACTAAGCTTTTTTGCGTTTTTTTTTTAATAATACAGGCTAGCTTTTCTACAATACTTGATTTTAAATGTTAAAATTTACATATTTTATATTAGTTATGGAAAATTTGCCATTTCTATCTGAAAAACTTGAAACAGTCGGGGAATTTTGAAATTAATTTTCCGTGGCAACTCTGATAATCTGTTTTTGTTTAAAAATCACAAAATTTCAAGAGAGCGAAGTACGACAATACATTGTAATTAAAACGTTACAGTTAATAAATGTCTTGTTTGCGGTGTTTTCCTCCTTTCCATGGCCGAGGAGATGTGGCTGAATCTAATATCTCGGTTATGATAAATTACACGTTATTTCGCGCGTACGAGTACCTACGCGCGGACGAGTTAATCCGCACCGACGTGGCGCATAATTGACTACAGATTCCTCGGTACTAATTGACGAGAGCAGCTTCTCGTGGATGTTCGTTGACCCTGCGGCTGCAACGCACCGTAAGTCAGTTTAAAGGAGAATTCTTGCGAAAGTAGAGAACGCGCGCCGACTAAAAAATGCAATCGAGCTTTGTTAGAATCCTCATCCTTTCATAATCGTACATAACATGTTATTCTGCGCACGAGCGAAGGTAATTATGCGGATATCAACAACTTAATTATCGTCTGTTATGATTTTCTTCCTCATGTTTCGTTAATGAGCATTATTCTCTTTTAAAATGCTCTTATATGCAAAAATTTCCGTCCACGTTCGCGTATTAATCGCGCAAAGATATTTGCCGCTTTGTATTCGTTCCGACGACGAAAAACCACGAGTGTGTCGCGGAATTCACGACTTGCAAACCAGAATAATAGTGATTTCGTGCCAGGTGTTGATTAATTGCGGCTCTCTGATCAGCGGACAAGATTAGACGCGTCTTTATACTAGGTTAATGGCTTGATGTATTCTGAATGGGAATTCCGCGGTATCGCACTGCCATTCAAACGTATTCTCTATTTCACAAGATACGTAATGTACAGTTAGATACGCGGAGTAATTAATGACAGACTTGAAAATTAAATAATCGATAAATCAAGCTTTGGATTATCAAAAAATATACAATAAAAGTTTATATACAGGATATCACAGAATGACCGTGAAATGTTTTATGTGCTGGTAGAGCGGACTAAACTGTGCTGAAAAGTTCTCTATCATTTTGCAATTTTTGCAATAATTAATAAGATATTAATTACTAAAAATCGTCGAATATTGCTTTTTAAGAATTTTTTACTCAAGTCTTAAGTACTATCAAGTTGACAGAAAAACAGCAAGAGAGACAAAAATTGTTTATTTTCTTTTCATATAATTCTAAGAATTTTTCAGAATCATTTAGTACCGCATTTTTCTCATGTTGGTAAAAGTAATTGCTATTAAAAAAATTCAGTACTAAAAAGTTGATAAAAATTCTGAAAAAATAGAGAAAAAAAAAATTTAATACACTAACTGGATTTATTAATATAATTACACATTTATTCTTGCAATGAATTCTAGTAATAGTTTTATCATTTAAATCATTATGAGAATTCACTGAACCAATTTTCATTAATTCAATGAATATTTTATTGTATTTATATACAGTCTTCAGTGTGATGATTCCGAGAAAGCTGCGTCATATAAAAGAACCAAGAATTCAATTTTACAAAAGATTTTAATACGCGCGGGGTCAGGGTACGAATAAGTAATGAAATCTCCAAGTGCGCGTTTGATTACCGATTTCTCTCAGTGGCAGCGAATTTATGTTCTTACCCGTGCACCTGCGTTCGAGACAAACTCAAGTGAGACTTGCGTTACGAGCATATGATACCATCAGTCGCGTCCGAAATGGTATCACGTGTTCCGATGGTTATCAGCCAGTCAAGAGGCTGATGAAGCACGATGCGTACTCCTTATTCCATCGAGATGCTCTCGTTACAATGCTTTCTCTATGGAAGCTCGATACAGTGGTTGCTTTGTTCCTTGGGTGATAAACAGTGATCCCTGGCATTCCGATCACGGAGCTTCTTTGTAACCTGTTCGACGCATATGTGGATACTTAAAAAAATTGCTAATCGCGAGATCTGTTTCGTTGTGTAGTGTGAAGTAGTATGCGATCGATCTCAGTGTTTAAATAGAAGCAATTTTTTTGTTAGCTTACTTCGTTTTGATTTCACAATTCCGTGGTTCGGCAAGAATTTTATCCTATTTCAGAATGTAGAATAGAATAATGGTTGACCATACTATATGTAAAGTCATTAACGAGTCGTGACATAAGCCGGGAATAAAGTCGCTGTTATGTTTCAGAGAGATTTACATAATCACTTTAATTCATAGGAATTTAAAATCAATTGCGTATAGTAATCTTGTGTTTTCGTTTTGAAAAAGGAATTATTTTATTAACTTATGTATGTGGTAAAACGGGAAGATGCATGGTCGCATGTGACTGGTTGGATGTGTGCGGTCGGAAAAAGTCTTGCGACGACGACAAAGCATTAGTGCAATTAATCCGGTAATTCGCATCGTTTAGGACGATCTAGGAACGAAACAGGGAACCAATGTCAATTTCATTGGAGAGGATGCCTTAAACGGAGCGGGGTCTAATTCGTGTAATTATCAATCAATTATTAGGCTGCTTAACGAACCCTTCTCTAACGAGAGTAATGAGCCGCGCGTTCACTGATTATCGTGTAGGTTGAACTTGTCGATTGAATCCTCCACATATTTTCTATATCTTACGTCTATCTTTATTTCCAAAATTATTGCGATTGTAAATAAGTCTGATTAATTCAAAATTATTTAGTGTTTCACGTTTTAAAAACAACGAGTGTTTGCCAAAGCGGAAAGCGACTTCTCGAACGATAACACTGTTAAGTTTACCTTTGTGATCGCGACTGTGAGTTGCGCTCGTTAATTTTCTTCGTGTGTAAAACGAATCATTTCCCGTATGTACTTTTTTGCATAATACATTTGCATGTATGCACATCTTATAAGTGTCGCGTTACGAACGGCGAGACGTCTTATCAACCCCTATCGGTGCGACGCTCTTTATCGGAGGATAGAGTTACTCA